TATCAAGCCTGTGTGCTGTTTGTAAGCATTTTTGTGGAAGTGCAACTGATGCGGGTATTCGCTGTCTGGCGAACGGAATTGCTGGAGGTCTCTCCTTGAGCGGATTTGTTCTTGTACCCTGTTGTCATCATAAATCGCGTTATAGCGAAGTAAGATACATTATTTGATTGCTCCTTTACTAATATTGTTTGATTAGCATCTTAATGCAGTATTGTGGCCGTGAATTTCTCGCTATGTGGGATATGGATAGTGAAAATGACTTTGCTGCTCTGCGGCTTGTAGCAGCATGGGCCGTTAGTGGGATAACGTTGAAACGGAGTGATAACTGTAGATCTTCTGATGGGTGTGAAAGTGAACAACCCGTCGATGAAAGACCATCAGATAACACAACCGTCTGGTAGGTTCAGCTTTGAACTTTTTCTTTGCTCAGTAGTTTGAAGATTTACGAGTCTCTGTCATTGTAGGTCTCCACTATACAAAGAAGAATTAGGCCGTCGAGCCAAAATAGTTCTTGAAATGGGTCGAGCACAATACCTTGCTGGCCTCGGATTCAATACTCACGTCATCAAATACGTCCCTGAAAGCATATCTCCAGAAAACTTGCTAATCTTAGGAACACGACAACCCTTATGATGTGTGATCGTTTGATTTTGAGGAGTTAATCTTTGTGATACAAAATGTTTTTTCACCGTTCTTATTGTTTTTGGTGGTGTTTAGGCATTTTTGAAGAGCGTGTTAATGTGAAGAATCACTTTTCATCGTTTAGAGGGTGTCCAGAGTGCATATTTTCTTTGCTACTGTTATCAGCACCATGGTTGTGGTTATTGCAGTCGTTATCACTGATGTACTTGTTCTTCTCTTTGCAGAAAATCTTGCTGCCAAATAACCTTTCAAAGCAATAAAATATTCTTTTCAAGGCAATGAAAACATTCTGCATGTTGTATCATGACATTATTTCTGTATTCGTCTACTGAGAATTGATTTACCCGCAAAGTTGTGCTTATTGCGCTTCACTTTTGCCGAGTGCTGCATTCAATTCATTTTGAACTGTTTTTTTTATAATCGTACTGCCTTTGTTTACCATTTATAGTTCTTTTTTTTTCGTGCAGTCACCAGTAATTCAATTAAGCGTGCTTTGCGTTTTTGAATCGCTGTCATTTCATCCACCATTACTCTGAGAACTGTAAATTTCAAATGAAACATAAGTGGCGCTCTTTACTCAATTGAGGCGACTGAGAATTCGAATTTCCAACTTTTGAATTGTCACAGAATGTGCAACAGGAGACTTGCACTTTTGTTTGCCAATTTCATATCTTAAGTCTGGTTCGGTTAAATTAGCTAAAAGGGAATCTCCTCAGAAGTATATCCACGCACTTTTACGCCATCATTAGGAACACAAATCGCGCAGTTTTGTTTCTTTTCATTCAATGTTGTGAAACTTGGTGCTGAAAGTTTGCTTAATTTAGGAAGAAAATGGAGGCTGGAATACTTGCGGAGGGAGTTGCAGCAGAGGCTTTTAGCTAATATATTTCTTTTCAGGGACAAATGTCGCTTTTCACACGTTCTTCCCGTCTACTTTACAGTGCTGTTCGTAATGCATCAAATGCCGCCCGAAGCAAAGTATTCTTTGATGTAAATATTGGTGATAAGCCAGCTGGGAAAATTACAATCGAGGTTGTTCCTTTACGTTTAGAGAGCAGTGGTTGGGAACTTTGAAAAAAAAATGTGAATGCTGCTAAAGAGATAACATTTAGCTCTTTAATGATGTTGTGCCGAAGACTGCGGAGAACTTCCGCGCACTTTGCACAGGAGAGAAAGGCACGGGAAAAAGCGGTAAACCTTTACATTATAAGGGTTCCGCGTTTCATCGCGTTATACCGGAGTTCATGATTCAGGTACGACCTTCCACCCCTTTTTTCCCAATGGTAGTCTTTACCCTTGTTATTTTAGGGTGGTGATTTCACACTTGGTGATGGAAGAGGTGGAGAGTCCATCTATGGCCAAAAGTTCGAGGTAACAAAAAAAAAGTTGAGCTTTTGATGATTGAATCCTTTTTTGTTTTAGGATGAAAATTTCAAACTGAACCACAGCGGTCTTGGCTGTGTTTCAATGGCAAATGCAGGCCCCGACACCAATGGCAGCCAATTCTTTATTTGCACAGCTGATACACCTTGGTAAGAGAACGAATTCTCTGAGTTCTCAATTTTTAAGAAACTTAAGCTGAATTTTAAGGCTTGATGGCAAGCACGTCGTATTTGGAAAAGTTACTGATGGCATTAGTGTAGTGAAGAAGATTGAGTCTATGGGATCGCGATCTGGTCGACCCAAAGAGAAAATTACAATAGCTGATTGTGGTGAGATTAAGTCTTCGGAGTAGGTCCAGCATGATTCTATTATTCTCATAGGTTCTAGAAATATTGTTGTTTCATTGTTTTACCTTCTTACTTTGATACTGCCTTTGTTAAGGACATTGCTTTGTTTCACATTTATAGTTGCATAAATTGATATAGAAAAACGAATTTGTTATCTTATCCTTGAT